CTGGAAAAGGCAAATTCACGTAATGGCTACGCAATTCTTTTCTTAACTATTATGGCTGTTTTACCAAATACGCGGTGGGGCAGTAAAGGAAAGGACAGAAAAAAGCGTATAGTTCGATTCAAAGCTGTTTATCAGTACTGTACTGGTAGACACAACCAGCGTGACTGCGACGCTGCCTTCAGTCGCTAACACACAATGTTCAGTCGCCAACACACAAAATTCAGTCGCTAACAAACACAGTATGTTACACCTGTGTTCTGACCATGTGCAAATGCCACCACACTCAAACCATTATATATTACGTTGTGACGACCACTTGGCTTAATGATCGCAATACTGACTGGTCGAGGATACCTTTGGGCAGTCCGCCCTTTGTATTCTTTTTTGTTTTTTAATGTGATGCAATAAAGATTTTATAACAAAATAAAATAAATACCTTATTTCACAGTCGTAAGTCCTAAGTTAGGAGATACAAACAATTTTTGTGTGTGTATATATAATCATAAATTGTTTCAATTATAAATAATGACGTGACAATGTAAGTTAGATTACCGAGCGATTATGCTGCGCGGTGTCACGAGAATAGTCACTTTACTAATTTTATTTGACATTAATACGGACAGTAATTACGATACAAAACTAGTAATTTACAAAGCACCTTGCTTCCTCTAACTTGTTATTTTTTTAATTCAAAATACTAAAAATAAGCCGATACACAAAAAACAAACATTTTTAGGCCTCCAGCATAAACCACACACGGTTTAATTGCTGGTCTATCAACTAAAGATTATTATTGGTACTAATTATTAGTACGCATAATAGATTTATTAACAAATCACTAAAAAATTATAAATTTAAGATAAATTAGTATTAACTACAGTATTGGTGTTTAACTTCTAGGTTTTACTAGACCTACCTATTAACTATAATTCATCGACATTAATTAAAGTTAAAAAAAAAAAAAACAAGGGCTTATCAAATATTGTCAGAGATTGCCTCACATGGATTGAAGAAAATTGTTTTGAAAAATTTTGACCGTTTTTGTAGGCGGTTAAAAATGAATTTTAAAGCTCAGTTCTAACTACGCTATAAACTATAATACATATATATAGAAAATAGCAAATATTTTGAAGCGCGACAATATCGCTCATTGTTCACATTTATGTCCATAAATGTGAACAATGAGCGATATTGTCACGTTCACACTGTGCTAAACTATATTATTTGCTATTGGATTGTATGCATAGAAAGCAATGTGTTTAGCAACCGTTACAGCCTATTAAAGTCCACTGCCGAACATAGGCCTCCCCCATAAATTGCCTCATAGGGGGATATTTGCCTTAGTGGCCACGTTTGGCAAGCGGATCGTCGAACAGCAGTTTTTTTTTTTTTAATTTTTAGTCGTTATTAGAAATACGCTGCTTCCGATCACCTGATTTCCTCGTTCGCCTCTTCGACACCCACGTGATATGGAGTAGTGGACTGGATATTCTTAAACCGCCAGTAAACGGTAGTACTATTTATCTGAATAGTGTAGCGCGGTCTGAGCTTAAAGATTTTTGTAACTGTTCATTGTTCAAAGCAAAGCAAATTAGCATTCATATTCCCACGCCGGAGAAACCGAGGACAACGTCTAATTTGCTCGATAACGTGCAAATTTAATTAATATAATTAAAAGTCTGTTTCTCATTCATTTTAGCCCACTAGTAATTAATGGAACTCACCTCGTAATCAAAACTTTCTATTGAAATTAAATGATAAAACTCTTTATCTTTCGGCGTAAGAAATTAAAGACGTCAACATGTTTTTAATTCCGTTTTACGTTTCAAGGTGAAATTTCTCTATACGGGGATGAAGATGACAGAAACTCCGTGGATATCCTGTTATTTGTCATTTTTTTTAAATGCTAATGAAACAATATCTCTATACTAATCATCTTCCCATATTCAATAAACGTTTCATTCATTTCATTTGGTCATGTAGAAAGAATGAACGAGGAAAGAGTGACAAAGCAAATTTATGTTGCAGAAGTGAACAGCAGGGTCGGGAAGGGACGCCCTAGACGAAGGTTTATCGACCAAATCGGCGATACATTAAAAATGGGCCAGATTAGGAGTACCCTTAACCGACGAGCGTGTATGCGTAGATATATGGATGTAAAAGAGGCGAGAGAGGTGTGTCAGGATCGCGCCAAATGGAAGTCCGTAGTCTCTGCCTACCCCTCTGGGTGACAGGCGTGAGTGTTTATGTATGTATTATGTATGTATGTTTCATTCTCTATAACGATCCGTTTTATTATTACAAACATGGTGCATATAAAAACAGAGGCATAACTAAGAGCGATATCTATTACTACTATCACCAATTCACGTGGCAGTTATGGCGAATCTATATAACTAAATAAAATTGAAATGACTGTCTTTTTGTAATGTTAAAATAACAGCTTTTTATTATTATTTGCATATGAAAGTATATACGGTACTTATAACAAAAACACAATTTTTAAAATTTTTTGTTCCATCAAATCTCCAAAAAGGCTTGACCGATTTTAACGGGACTTTCACTGGCAGATAGTTGATGTTATAAGAGTAACTTAAAATACTTTTTATTTTAGAAAAAGAATTAGGGATCCGCGTTAAAACCCATTAAATTCAATCATAATAAATTTCACGCGGACGAAGTCGCCGGGAACAGTAGTCTTTAATATAACGTGACAGCCCATGTCCAACATTTGACTGCTACAGCCTGTTACAGAATGAAGGGAATTATTTATATGCAATAGATGTACATAACAATTATAATCGTGATTGCATTTTATATAAGTACTAAAGACTAAAGCCGGTATTCCGATACAATATTTAAAAAAAAATATTGTGAAGTTTAACTTTAAACTTTAAAGTTAAGATTAAAAGTTTAAACTTTAGACATGAAGTCTCTGAATATCGGTAAGACATTGCCTTCTATTGAGACTTGAAGTCAAGTACTCTTTTGTCTAGGAGTCCATTTGAGTTGATACCACCACTTACCTATTTCTGTCAACAAGCACCCGTCTATTGGTGGTTTCTAGTGTGAAGAGTAGGAAATCCAGGAAAATTAAAGGAAGTGTGAGAAATTTCATTTACATCACAGGGGACAACACATTTACAGTCATTGTATTTGAAATTTAGTCGCTGATGTTTGTGACAACAGAATGCTGCAAATTCTTTGCTTCGTTTGTCACTCCCCTAACGTTATAAAAAGTGTATGTATTTTTCATTACTATGCCAATGTATTAAAAGGACCGGAAATGAAAGTGGTGTTACTCGGCCGATCTTCAAGGCAAGGCCATTTTGTACACGGACTGTTCGAGTAGACATCGAATTTATGGCCCACAGTATATACATGTATACGGTTGCCGTGTGCACGAATACGTGTCCCACTTTTTATGTGTATCTTATTCACTACAGTGCAGTAACGGGCGGGCGCTAAGTTCTTACACTAATACACTAAAGTGAAAGAGCCACACTGGTAACTGTATTAAGGGGAAGGACCATGCTCGAACGTAATATCAGCTTGAAATAATAAGTAATAAGATAATGCTGCTTATAAGACTTTTTTAACTAGTACCAAGGCACACAACGGTAAACGATGGCGTTGGTACCTTCATGGGTACCAACGCCATCGTTTACCATCAGATGAACTGTGTGTTTGTTTGTCATGGTCCCTTCTATAAAAGAAGAGCTGTCAGTCCGCTTCATAGTACCATCAGCCCATTGAGACGCTTCAAACACGAATACCGTAGTGTACTCGTATGCACTGTTTGGCAATAGAGATATGAAAGTAAAGAAGGGTGGGACCAACCCGTACCAACTCCTAGTCCGAAATGAGTCTGATTATAAAGTAAAGATTATTTTACGTGGTTGAGCCATGCCTCAGCTATATTAGTAGTATAGTTGTGTAAGACGAATGGGTCGGCTCGACCGGGGAAACACCACGCTCTCACAAAATACCAACTTAAAATAATGCTACTGTGTTTCGTATGGTGAGTGTAGAGAACCGGAGACACTTTTTACTGGAAATCCATCTTATTTCTCACTGGTGACAAGCATCTGCATTTTGATTCGCAATCGAGGATAGATGTAGATGCCTATGAACCACAGCATCCACTTACTATCAGGTGGACTCTGTGCTCGCTTGTCACCTTTATCCTATTAAAAAATGCAGCCGTTTTTAGACAGACATCCAGCAAACAATAAAACATTTAATGAACATCAAACTAAAAATGAAAACACCCGACCACACATGGCCAACAGTCCTTATATTTTCCTTGAAAATAAAAATCATATCTTATTAGTTTTGGAAACAGGGGAGATGATGATTTCGTACATTTTTCATTGGCATACCTAGTTTCATAGCTTATGTCCGAGCGGCAGTTGTCTAGCTCGGTCGTTCGGCTATAGTGCAAAAGAAATAAAAATCTATTGTTCAAATTTCTAGTCAGTCAGTGTGGTCATCTGCAGCTAGGGTTACCAACTATACTGTTATAAACGGTAATACTTTATTTCGCTATTTAATACTCTTTAGGTATTGTTCTATTTTAAAAAAAAATTGACACAAAATACTGTTTATCATCGCCGGTATCAAAAAACCTGAAATAGAGCTTCTACTAATTTAAAAAAAAACGAGCACCTCATTTAATATTAATTTTGATTTGAGAGGTTTAAAAATATTTTAAAAATGATAATAAATTGTTAAATTGTGCAAGAAGTTACAAAAAGTTGTTTTTTAAACTAAAAAAAATCTTTATTTCCTAAAATACTGTTTATGTTAATTCTCCGACTTTAATATACTTAATTTTTACAAAATGTTGGCGACCCTATCTGCAGCTGCTCGTAATGCGACGTAACAGCTGCAGGTTCGGGCCTTTACTCGGGCGTCATCTCGTGTGAGTCACAGCTCACCGGGTTTCTAGCAGGCGTGATATCCTGAGCACTAAGTACAAAGCGCGTTGTTGTCCGCAGGTTGATCGGTGCAGTGTGGGCGCGTGTAGTGTGTCGTTGTGTGCGTGTGTGTGTGTGCGTGCGTGCGGCGGCATGGCGCGGAGCTAGCGGCGCGCGCTCGCGGCATGCGCGCTTAGCCATGCCGGCGCGGCTCGGCACCACATGGCGCAGTACTCACAGCGGACACAGCCGATGCACAGGTCAGTTCACTTGTTCAGTTCAATTCCGCTCAGTGCACCGTATACCATACATCCAGCACCACTCACAATTTAAATTCTTTACAGCCTCCGTTCGTTGCTGACAGGCCTCACACATAGATAGGGGGGACATTTGCCAAGCGGGTTCGTAACCGAAAAAAGATACTGTTGCCCGTCACCTGTTTTAATTGTTCTCTGTCGCCTCTTACAAAATCCATGGGATGATGATTGATGTAAAGTATAAGTATGTTAAAAAGTGGACACTAAATCATTCTATAAAAAAACACAGTTGGCACATTCTTTTTTACTATAAGTCCCACAAATATGGGACCTAAAAGTTGCAGACCAACATGAGATAACTTATACAAGCTCATCGTTTTATTAACAAAACCAAAAGTAAATACGATATACTCAGGTGATGATCATGGTCTATTTTTGAAAGATCCTCGTTATCAAATACTCTAAAACCATAATATTTTTCGCTTAACACCGTTCCAACAATAGGAGGACTTTTTTCAGTATTGGAAGTATTTAAAGACAAAAAACTAGACCCGAGTGTCATTTTAACCGACTTTCAAAAGGAGGAGGTTCTCAATTCGAGTGTATGTTTTATTTTTGTATGTATGTTGCGCGATAACTTCTCAGATCGTGAACCAAAACGTGTGTGTGGAGAAAAAATTTCACCCCTAAGGGTAGCAAACAAAATAACTTCTTTTTTAACGATTTGAAGTCGGTTTTTATTTTTTATTAAAAGTTATAAATTTTGTAGTCTATAAACTCTCCATCACTCTATTTCGTCACGTAAATTTTGTTGATAGTGTCTCTTCACTATCAATAGCTATTACCATTCTGATTACGTAAGACAACAGGTAGCAGTGTGAAAGATGCAAGATGTTTCTTTTTTTTTAGGATAAGGGAAACAAACGAGCACACAGTCCACCTGATGGTAAATGGATACTGTGGTCCATAGATATTTATATTTCACCCTCGAGTAAGAATCAAAATGCAGATGCATTGTCAGCCGTGAGGACTAAGGTGGAATGCCTCGTTTCCAGTAAAAAGGGTCACCGGTTCTCTATACTCACCATGCCGAAACACACCAGCATTAAACTGCTATTTTACGCAGGTATTATGTGAGAGCGTGGTCCTTCCCCGGTCGAGCTAACCCATTCGTGCTATAACAATAATATATATAGCTGCAGCTTGGCTCTACCACGTATAACTAGGACTTGGACTGTATTCGTAAATTCACCTGCCCAAGCGTTGCTATTAAGGCATTTCCTCGGCAATTGTCAAACGGCATAGGCCCATGTCCTGTGAGTTTTTTATGAGCTGATAAAAAGAAGAGAAAAGAATGGGGTGGGAATCTAACCCACGGCGTGCAGCACCGCTGCCAAATGTTTACGCACTGTGCAACCGAGCCGTCAAAACAATAACACGAAAGATTTTTGATTAACTTAAAATATTATCATAACTTGTTTTAGCTACCATTTTAAAGTGATTTCTCAGTTTTTGTTTGAACAAGCATAAATGCGCGGTAAATAAAGACAGTAAATAAAATTGTTCAAACTACAATTTTGTATGCTTTTAATGGGTTCACTTAATCCTCAACTATCCGAAGCCGGAGCATTATATTTATCGGCTTGCGGTAAATAAACGTTTTTATTTTATACTCAGAACCGGTTACATATGGCCGGTATAAATACTTATAAAGCTGTGTAGAACTTTCTAGAAGCGCTACCGCGTGGGTGACTTGAGGCAACGTTGGTACGTTGGCGTCTTTCCGGTTGTACCGTTCCATCGATTCGGTGTACCGCCGCTCGCCGAGGGTTTTCATGTCATACGTCAATTAAACTAACTCTGAAAAACTCCGCATCGAATTGTCCGCTTCCCCCGAACGGTACTTGTCGAGGTAACATTCCTAATTTTAGTAAATAGGTCATTCGATGAAATAATTTCTCGTATTTTAAAGTAGAACCTTAATACTTCATACGCACGTGCGTCAAATCGCTCAAAACTTTTCTCAGACGTCTCCGTAAATACGGTAAAATATTGCGGTAAACGGGTTTCTTTTTTATCGGCTCATAGCAGTTCACTGGTAGACATAGTCCTCCCCATTGTGGAGAGAGCGACATGAAAGAGTAATTCTAAACTAAAAATTATGGCTGCACCTTTCACGCTGTTCACCATCGCGGTTATGGAGATATAACTGAAAAATGATTATACCACACTTTATCGAAAGTTATAATGTCTTTTAGGTCTCCTCTTGCGTCATCTATGGAATTAAATGGGATAGTAAACTCGGTTAGGGGGGACATTTAATATGACTTGTAATAATATAACTTTGTGTGCAGTACAACAAGAATGGCGTTAAAGTTGTCACTTGTAAATTGTTTAATTTGTTACAATTGCTTCTCATTTCGAAACCTTCATGTTTTCGGAACAAAAATATCTCTAAGGAATAAGATGGATTGCCTCGTTATTAATTAAAAGGGTCTTCGGTTCTATACCGTCGGTTTAATGTTGGTATTCTTTGAGAGCGTAGTCCTCTGGTCGAGCCGACCCATTTGTGCTACAACCATAATATAGGTACAGACTAGCTCTACCACGTAAAATCATTTAGTCCACTAAAGATGAGAATCTATGTACTTATTCTATTTTAACTTCTCTATAGTTTGTGTTAATAATAACGATCGCAAGTCTTAAAGATTACGATAATTTGAGATTTTCTGTCGACTTCCAAAAAGGAGACTGTACTCAATTCGACTATGTTTTTTTTTATGTGTGTTACCTCATAACTTTTTACTGGGTGAACCGATTTCGATGATTCTTTTTTTATTTGAAAGCTGATACTTCTCGTGTGGTTCCATATGAATTTGATCAAGGTCAGACCAATAGTTATTGAGTTATTCTTATTAACTTATATTGAAATCGGCTGTAGAAAATTTTAAATTATTGTTGCAGCTGATCGCTTGTTGCGTTCATTTTCACTTGCACATGAACATTGACGTACAAAATATATCAATGCACGTGAAGCAAATGCATCGATATAAATTATTATTATTATATCTAAGCTTCTCTACGACCATTTTATATTATAGCGGAATATTGTGAAATTATGTGAATATTATTTTGACGCGAGAATACTTTTTTTCCTCACAACGGTTTTACAATAATATAAAACCATGAAAACTTCATCAACATGCGCTAGTATTCGTGGCTTCGTTACTGGACGACCCGTTATATACAACATTAATTATGCGCGCTGTTAGATAGATGTATAAAGATTATGTGTAATATTACAATATGTATCGCATTATCAGCGCGAGAACCCCGTTCACTATTGCAATTTAATTCTTACGTTACCCATTCCCACAGCTCTCCGCTACCACGTTCGCACGTATGAAATTCTCGCAAGTCCCTCGGCTCCATGACTACTCGACTCGTATTTGCATAATGAGTTTGATGACTCAACGGATATAAAATGCCATCAGGTGGTCCGTATCTTTTGTAAACACTAATATTGAACTGAGATCTAGATTTCGTTACAAATGAACTTTTGTATAGTTGCTAAGTACCGATTGACCGATATGGCTGCTTGACGAAGGTCACGGCGTGTGTTGGAGTGAGATACCCATTTCGTGATTAATCGCTCGGAATTGAGGTGTCGCAAGCAAAACGCGATAAAATCCTGTGTCCAAAAATATCAGAATTATTTAACTCGGGAAGACATACGAGGGTGGATTGAAAAGTACTCGGCCTAACCAAGAAAATAAACAAATACTAAATCAGTTATATTTTTATTTTTCTACATAATCACCATCAAGTTCAATACACTTTTGCCACCTCCCCTTCCAAGCATTTAGACCGTTGAAAAAAAATGATTCTTCCTTAGAGTCAAAATATGCGTCTACAGCTGCTTTGACCTCGTCGTTTGTCGAAAATCTTTGACCTCCCAAGTGCTTTTTTAGGTTAGGGAACAGAAAGAAGTCTGATGGTGCCAGATCAGGTGAATACAGCGGATGCGGTAACAGTTCAAAGCCACAGTTGTGAATTTCAGCCATTGACTGTACTGACGTGTGAACACGGGCGTTATCTTGATGAAACAGGACTTTTCTTCTGAGCATTCCTCGACGTTTTTCTTTTATTTCCTCTCGTAAACGACGTTGTAAGGTGCACTAGTAATCAGAGTTTATATTCTGACCCTTTTCAAGATAATCAATCATAATCACACCTTTCGAGTCCCAGAATACTGAAGCCATCACCTTATTTGCCGACAAAATCGACTTAGCTTTTTTAGGGGGTGGTGCACCAGGTCTTCTCCACTGTTTTGATTGTTGTTTTGTTTCTGGTGTACAGTAATGAACCCATGTTTCGTCCATAGTAACAAAACGATTCAAAAAATCATCTGCATCGGCTTCAAATAACTCCAAACAGTCGCGTGAAATAGTCAATCGCGTCCTTTTTTGTTCAACTGAAAGCAGTCGCGGAACCCACCTCGCAGACACCTTGTGGAAACCCAACTCGTTGACAATGATGTTTCGAGTTCGTTCATAAGAGATGCCTATAATCTCGGCTATCTCTCTAATTTTTAATCTGCGGTCTCCCATTATTAAATCAAGTACTTTTTTAATATTTTCGTCAGTAGTTGACGTCGAAGGCCTTCCAGAGCGGGGTTCATCTTTCACACTCTCTCTACCACGCTTAAATTCTGCTATCCATTTTTTGACGGATGAATATGACAGAGCACAATCGCCTAATGTACTGACCATGTCATCATGGATGGCTTTTGATGATAGCCCCTTCTTATGGAGGTACTTAATGACGGCACGCTGCTCGATTTGCTCCATTCGCGAAAATTATGTCCGATTACTTTGTTAATAAATTTATAAAATCACAACTAATTATCGCACACGTTTCGAACTTCACACAATGAACTAGTCTGAACTGAACTAAATAATGTGGGTAGATTTGATTTTTAGAATTGAATGGATCTGTGTTAG